TAACAATAAAAATGAAAATGCTTGGAGAAATTTAAGAAACAATAAAAATAAAAATGCTAGGGGAAATTTAAGAAAAGTACATGTTAAAAAGGTGAGTTTTAAAACAGCACATGTAACATTACAAATATTAAGATAAGACTAATAGGATCTGTGGTCTCCATCTGGGTCTGGTTTGTCATTTTCATGGTACAATACATCTTTAAAAAAATAATAAAATTGCACGATCACTGAGTGACACTGATTATCAAATGAAACAGTATAACATTCTTAGCTGCATTTAAAAGCCAGCTGAAAACATCTTTTTTTGAGCAATATCAGCAGCAAGTGCTCTACAGCTCTCAATAAGACCAGTGGCATATTTTGAAGTCTTGAAATCGGGGTGAAGTGGTGGGGGGGGGGCTCGATGATCAGTTGAGGGGCCCTAATTCGCAAAATATGGTGATTTTAGGTGATTTTTACCTACTTGACCGTGATTTTTGAGGGGACGACTTGGGGGGGGGGGCGCAAGTAATTTTTTTGGAGATTGTGACCCCGCACCCTCCCCTAGATATGCCACTGCCTAAGACGCATGTGTGGGGGCGCTATATACTAACTTATTACCTAATGTCATCATGCTTGGACAACAACACATGTTCAACCATAATCTGTATCATGAACACCATATAAGTATTATGTTTTTTTTAAATTGTATTTTACAGATGTTTCTCATATTAAATTTTTAAAATAGCTATATAGATTTTATTTAAAAAAAAACTTTAAGCCTTATTTTATTATTAATCACAGGCTATAACCCTCCAACAAAAGTGGCGCCAAACTTTGTATTTGCATTGAACACCATATAAGTATTATGTTTTTTTGAAATTATATTTTACAGATGTTTCTCATATTAAAATTTTAATATAGCTATATAGATTTTATTAAAAAGAAAACTTCAAGCCTTATTTTATTATTAATCACAGGCTATAATCCTCCAACAAAAGCGGCACCAAACTTTTTTATGAGGATCGTTGCTTTGTTCAACTCTGAAGTGAAAGGTTTACTTGGCTCGCTTGGTGTAGTCATCACTGCTGATAATACCAGGGTACGTCCTCATTTTCTTTTACTTTCTTAGAGCTCAAAAAACAGATAGTGTGCCTTCATCCTTTTACTTTTCAATCATCATTTTGTATGATGCATTCCCCTTGCACTTTGCCGATTTAGTTAAGTTTGACTGGTTTGCCAGGAAAACATACAATTTATGCAATAATTTTAAGCAATCTTTAATATCCTTATGGTTCAGTCACCACATTTGAACTGTGGTTTCTGGGTTAAGAATGAGGTTTCTGGGGGATTCCTTTTTATCAACATTATTGTATTTTTTCATTTTTTATCTTGATGAATAAAAGAATTTTGAATTTGGAGCTTATGTGGTAGCTGTCGATTATGATAATTGTGAAGGCAGTTTGTGCAACAGTTGTGTTAAGCTAGACAACAAAACACCATCTGCTGATTGTCGGTGTCTGAAATCGTCATTAAAATATGGTTCAAATTATTGTATTAAATAAAATAAATAATCAGTATACTGATTTTCTCTATGGTAAACATACAGGTTAAACAGTGGGGAGGGTGGAAGACTATGCTTTTACTAAGAACTGCAAAAGGAGTTTATTAAATACAGTATAGCTTTGCTTTTTTTAGATGAAGGATGTTCTTAAGATAGATCCTATTCCAGTTGAGGAAAGTCTAATTGAAATGGGCTACAGTGTGATTGAGAAAGGCTGGGTGAAGAAGACGTCAAATTATAAAGGCAGACCACAGGAGGCGGCAGAGGCTGCTGGTGAAGCCTCAAGCCAAGAATAATAACCAAGTGAAAGTGAGGCTGCAGTGGAGTCTAAGTAACCAGAAAAAAGAGTAGCTGCAACGGAGACTAAGTCAGCAGAATGTGGCAAGAGTGCTACTAAAAATGTAAACATTAAATTCTGTGTCAATAAAAGGGTCATCAGTAATATTCCAGGGTAGACAGAGGAAAATATGAATTTCATTCTATTGTATCAAAGTCAAATTTGTTAACACATTTTGTTTATAGTCATATAAAACTAATTTTCAAATGGTATTTAAATTATCAAATAAAAAAATAATGTAATTGTATTCTTTGTAGTTTTAATGGTTGAATGACATTTCTACATTATATATGGCAGTACTTTTACTGTGATAGATAGTATTATATTAATAAGAGGTAGATTATTATTTTTTGCAGAGGTGTAGTCATTTTGTGAATACTTAAATATAAAATAGTAATTAATTTTTTAGTTTCACAATTTTATTATACTGTACTATGAAAATGGTATCATGTTTTTAGATTCAAGATTGATTCTATTTTCTATTTATAACATTACTGTATATTTAAATTAAGACAGTGTACACAAATACATTCTTTTTTACAAAAGTAATTTGAACTTTACCTAAAAGATTTTTTAAACTAATGTACAAAATTGAGTGTAAACATATTATGCAACACATTGTATTGATAATATACTGTAATTGGAATATATTGTAATTAATTGAAAGAATATAATTCTCTTTTTGTCTTCATTGTATTTTGAGTGCAACAAATTCTAGTTATAATTTTACTGTTATTTACTATGTAATTGATGTATTGATGAATAAAATATTTGTTGTTATACCACAAAAGAGAGAAAAAAAGTTTAATGATATTTAAAATAGGGCGCCCTCAATGTCTTATCCATGTTTATATAATAATAATTTAACCTTGATATAGCGCATTCTGCTAAAGCTTTAATGCACTTAACAATTAAAAAAATCTAGGAATTTAAGAAAATATTGTTTAAAGAGATGAATTTATACAACCACATAAATCTAATAAGCTTGAAAAAAAAAATTGGATTGCTAACCTTGAATACCGTATTTCAATAAACTATTAGTTTTCAACAAAAAATTGTGAGAAAGAAATTTTTCAATGAACAGTCGGGCAGTCGGACCAAAAAAAAAAAAAAAAAAAAATAGGCCTAGTTTTCCCATCCCAGATATTTCCGGCCATCTAGAAGTCCCAATTAAATAAAAAAAACCTTGTTTTTGGGGGGAGGGGACACCCTCTCCCATACCCACCCCTGGATCAGGCCTTCGGCCCTCAGATAAAGCTGTGTGTTATAGTTACACCCATAAATACTTAGCCCCCCCCAGTCAGACATCTTAGCCCCCCCCAGTCAGACATCTTAGCCCCCCCACCCCATAAATTATATCCTAGAGCCACCACTGCACCACCTGGCGTCGTGACGACACCACTGTGGTACTCTATAAAATGATCTCTGATTTTGAGAAGATTTTTTTACGATTTTAGTATGTTAGGTGTATAAGACTACCCCTCTCTTTCACCATCACAATTCCTACTTTTTGCTGCTCTTTATGATCATGGCACTGTATCTAGCTGCCTCAAAATGGAGCCAAATGTATGGCTAATCTTCCAAATATTACCATTTTATGGACTTTTAAATGTTATTTCCTGCATTTAAAATTACATTCATTCATACTAACAGTTAGTAGCTTCATTTCAGTAGTAAATTTGTGTGTTACTGATGATCGTCACGAACATGATTTTAAAATTTAAAAAATGTATGTGTTGTGCATATAAGATTATCTCCAGTTTTTTTAAAATTGTAATTTACTATTTTAAACCTCATCTTATAGGCCTATGTGAGAATACAAGGCACTATACGAAATGTTCAACCATAGTCTGTATCATGATTTTTTTTTACCTTTATTGCCAACATTTTCATAATGTATTTGCATTGAACACCATATAAGTATTATGTTTTTGTGAAATTATATTTTACGGATGTTTCTTATATCAAAATTTGAATATAGCTATATAGATTATATTTTAAATCCATCAATGTATCATCATTCACTATATAGAGCAGATTATATAAAGTTGATAAAAAGAAAGACATACTGTGGCAGCAAAGAACTGAAATCATTCAATATCAATGTGTTTCTCTACCTCAATTAAAAGCTTATGACTCGTGGACTTACCATAACTCACTCGTGAGGGGATGATATTACCAATTGTCCTATTGGCTGATTCTATTCAATGCATATTTGGTGAGGCAAGACTTTTTTGTACCTTGTTTTGTGAACTTATTTTATTAAAGATTGTCAGAGGAGGGCAGGGAAAAAAATAAAAATAAAATTTTGTTTTCTTATTTAGCAAATAATTTTGCAAAAACCATCCAGATGGAGAAGAAAATACAAATAAATTATATTGTTGAATGTAAACAGTGTATGGGATGGTTAAATGCTTTAAATTTTATAATTAGGCAGATATATAGGCCTACATACCTTTTTTTTGGGAGATTTCAAGGCAGCGGCGGGCATAATAAAAAAAAAAAGAAAGACTTATTTAAAAAAAAAAATAATAATAATAACTGTGGTTGCGGGTGCCCTAATAATGGCCAAAAATAAATTTTTATTTTTATTCGAAATCATCATTATTGGTAGGCAGCAGGTTCGATAAACAAGGTATAAAAAGTCTTGCTTTCCATAGATTAAAGATTACTAGATAAGCTTCTCGGAGTCAACGGCCAAACATGCTCATTAGGATGTGTATGGCTTTAGGGTCCCAACAATATGCATTCTATAAGTCGATCATTATTATTATAATTATTTAAATTCTGTAACCCACTGTTAATCTGACGTCAGAAATGAAAGCACAGGGATTTGATTTATTATAAATCTCATCAGAGTTAATTGCAGGTTGTAAATGACTTGCGATGAAACAGTGTCCCATCCAGGGAGAGTCTTCAACTCACACATACGCTTCACGCTTCAGAATCTAAGAATAAGCAGCCCTGAGGCCTAGTGGATCAGAAAGGATTTACTGTAAATCAGACTGCCACAAGTTTAATTTTAATTAGTTTTTGAAACATAAATAACTAATTAAACTTAAATTACTGTAATAAAACAATTAACAAAAACAATCAATTCCAATTAGTGTGCTAGCACAGAAGCAAACAAAGGTTTAAATGTTTTATCAGTGGTCCTGCCATGTTCTGGCTGCCATGGTTCTGTGATGTCATTGCAGTCAATACATTCATCTGCACGAAATGGAAGATCAGAAAGTGCACTGACATAATATAATACAAGTACAGTATAGGAAAATCATCTTGTAACTGTCTTCACCTAATGATACTTAATGGACTTTACGCTAAGCCCCGCCCCTTGGATATTGTTGCTAAGGTCCCACAAACAAGCGTAAATGTACGTAAACCATTCGTTCGTGGGACAACACGTGTGTTTGTAGGACACGCGCGTATTCCTTACTCTATTCTGATTGGTCAGTTGTTAAGTAACACTCTGGAAAGATCTATTGCACTACGCTCATGCTAGTATCTGCGCTTTACGACTAGGATTTGACATCGGAATATGTAACTACTTTATTTCATCAGTCCGAAACGTAACAATCATGTAGCTCTGAGTGGGTCATAAAGCTGTGAAGTTGACAAAGCATGGAATGGCTAAGTGCGCGCCCTCTATAACGAGTGTGTGGAATGATGAGTAGATGGAACCGAGACAGAGTACTATACCAACCGCGAGAATAATAAGATGTACTGCTGTAGAATTTAACAGCATACCTCTGCAAGATGAACAATGTAAAATACAGTTAGTTAGTTCTTTATTTATTTGTTTCACACTCTCAGATTAAAACAGAGACCAGCCAATTCTGGCTTATGAGTGAAATACAGGACATTTTTAAAACACATGCAACACATGCAAAAAAAAAAAAAAAAAAACACGATTAAAAAGTTTTAAAAACAAAATTTACAAACATTTCTTAAAATATGATTTACGTAAACACAACAGACTGCCGTAAGGAGAGGATTTGGTAGGCAAATTTAGCTACCCTATAACAGTGGTTGCCATCGCTCATTATGATTAAAAAATGAATTGGTCATTAGGGGTTAAATCTGCAAAGGATGGGTTGATTTGAACAATATAATCATTCACATAATACGATATCATACTCTAATTATATTTAACGTGATATACTTGGTGTATTATAATTTGATATGATTATAATAATTATTTGATATATAATATCATATACCAAAGTAACACTGTATAATATAATATAACATAATTCAATATACTATGATTTAGTATAGCATACTATGTATAGTATCATATTATGTTATATGATATAACATAATATGATACTGTACAATGATATGCTGTAATATAAAATAATATAATAAGCGATATTGAAAACACTTCAATAATGGTTGCTGCAAACAATAAACAGATCCACTTATTATTATTATTATTATTATTATTACATATTATTACATATTATTATTATTATTATTATAATTAATATTATTATTATTACATATTATCATTATTATTATTATTATTATTATTATTATTATTACATATTATTATTATTATTGTTGTTGTTGTGATAATACTATTATTATTTTTTCGTTTTTAAATAGAAATTAATTATTGTTTAAATTTGCAGAAATCGTATTAGACTTACATGAAACCATTAGGTCTAGTATCATCCATGTTCCGTAGACGTAGGTAGAATAATGATGGAAGAATAAAGACGATTGGTAAAGCCAGAAATGCGCCGACTAATGTCAGAAATTCGCCGTAGTGTGGAATGAGTAAAGCTATTAGAAGCTCCGAAACCATGACAAGGGAACGGATCAAACACATTTGCCATGTTGTTTCTGTCAAGGAAAAACACACAGTACCTTAATTTTAACATGTCTATAAGATTGAATAACCTGTGCATTTACGCATTCAATGAAATTATAAAGAAACATAAAATTCAAGTATAATCAAAACTTTACTTAAAACCTGAAAATAAAACTGGATGCTAGTGTAAAATATGTTTTGATGTTATTGAGAAGAAATATATAGCCCTAAATTTAATTTCTGTTACGGGTCATAGGCGCTATATTGCTATACAAATACAAAATATAAATATAGACCACTTGCATCCATAATAATAATAATAATAAAAAACAAAAACAAATAAACAAATATAGTTTGCTTTTTACCCAGAAGTAGCAAAAGGCCGGATGGAAAGGGGTCTCGGTGGCGAGAGTGGCAAAAAGTCTCATTTCATCTTAAACGTTGACCATCACTGTTCCAAAATGGATGGCTAGTAGTAGTCCGGCAATCACTTGCCCGGCGTTATAAGGTAGATAGTAGAGTAGGTTGTCCGCTGTACCATAGATGGAGCCCCCGTAGATGAAAAAACTTGGCATAATCGTCATCTCGTATAAGCATAGTGAACCTAGAAAGGATTTGTTAAAGGAAACAGTTATTTTAAACAGACTACGCAGGGGAAGATTTAGGGGGAGGCGCGCTCCTTCCCCACCTTTTGGAAAGTTTTTTAAAAATAAAAAAATAACGCCCAGAGGTAATTTTGGGCGTCTAGAAGACAAATATTTGGGTGGTGTTACCTCGATCGGCCCCTTTCGGCTCCTCCCCACCCCCATTTCGAACATCTCTGGATCCGCCCCTACTACGAGATTTCCTCTATATTCGGATGAAAACATTCAATTTAAGTGGCGCGAATCCAGTGGGTGACGAATGGGGAACTTGCCGGACCCTCACATCGGCAGCAGGTGTGACATCATTTAGATAAGAAATTAAAATGTTTAAAGCCTACCCACTTGGACCTTTGGACTCCTCTTCTTGCAGTAACTTCTAGATCCGCCACTGCAATGTTTTAAGCGTCAGTATTGGTCAATGATGATGATGATGATGATGATGATGATGATGATGATGATGATGATGGCAATAGATACAAGATCGATTGTTTTATCATGAAAAATCGGTAGACATTATATCTGGCTTCCATATTCGGAATATGCAACATTTATTACTTATTAAATAATACGAAAACACAGAAAATAATTTTGGTAGATTGCAGTTTGAACATGGTTTGAACAAAGCAGGTATATGTAAATATTGCAAATATAAATAGATCCAGGCCTATATATTAAATTATCCTGTGAATGCTTTATTATAATAGGCTTAATATTAGGTTTTTGATGAATGGGTTTCTGGATCTGACATTGCACTTAAGTGAACAAAGACTTCTTGCTTTATTGCTTGAGTTGTTATTATTCATATTGAGTTCGACAAGTCCTTGATTATCTTATTAAATTTACATAATAAAATAAATATATTTGTAATCCACTTAAGCTACCGATATAACGATAAAAATATTGATGATGTCGTCTGCTGCAGTGATGATAAATAAGATGATAATAATAACAGACAACAATAATATAATGATCAAAATGATAAATTACAATAGCTTGATGATGCTGATCAGTATAGAGAAGATGATGGTAATGATTATTATGATAATGATGAATGATATATTATTAGACTTGTGGAAGCATTTGGCTTTATCGTCATTGCAGTCAACATCAATCAATATTTTCATCGTTATATCGGCAGCTTACGTGGATTACAAATATATTTATTTTATTATGTAAATTTAATAAGATAATCAAGAACTTGTCAATGAATATCGGTATCTGCAGTGGTTGAGGTTCAGACTCCCAACCTTGATCTATTCAAAGCTAGAATCACGGATCTGGTGGGGGTGGGGGATTAGTAACATTTTCCAAAAGAGGGGAGGGTGTACTAGAAGGGTCACGCCCACCTCAGTCCACCGTCGTTGGAAGCTGAACTTAAAAATAGCAGTTATTTCCTAGTCTACGTTTGGCACCATATTATTGATGGAAACCAGGGGAGAATCCAGTTAGGGGGGGGCACGAGGGGCACGTTCCCCCGTTCTAGTCGCTAAATTTTAAAAATTTCAATGCAAATCAATGTTATGTGCTACTCACTTATCTATTTTCAAACTGTTGTGCCCCGCCCCCCGTCTGAAAAATTCTGGATCCGCCCCTGGACGAATGTGGTATCTACTCGAGGCCTATATAAATTTAAAGAAATAACTTTTGTTGTTAAATTTATAGTTATTTTTTCCATACTCAATTATCACTTTCATTTTAATAAGGGGTGAGAAATAATTCCAAAGGGGAATTGCTGAGTGATATGCACTCCGAACCTGTAACAGGCTCGACTACCTTTTCCCTTACCAGGGGCGGATCCAGAGATGTCCAAAAGTGGGGACCGAAATTTGGGCCGATCGAGACAACAACGACCTAGGGGGTCCGGGGGCATTCCCCCGCGAAATTTTTGTGTTCTAGACGCCCGAAAATAACATTTGAGGCGTTGTGGGCTATCATTTTTTTCTTTTTCTTTTTTTTACATCCCAAAAGTGGGGCCCGGGGCCAGGCCGCCCCCCCCCTAAATCCACCCCTGCTTACTCTTTGATAATCTTACCCAGTAGTGCTAACGCAACACTGACTTTGAACGCCGACTGCCGTTTCATCGCATTCTGTATGGTCGTGAAGTATGGGTGTCCGGCCACGGTATAAGAATACGTGGACCATGCATTACAAAGTGACACAAATGTAATCTTAGGATATTCAACGTGCTTTGGTGCACTTGTGTCGGTTAAGATGACGATGAACATTATAGTGGCCGCCGTCAAGCTTACAAAAAACGCTGTCACAGCTACGGGTCTATAAATAGAAAATAACAACATTATGACTCATATTGCGTAGACATATTCATATCTTTCATTAGCTATAATGATGACGTCATTTATGTTCGATGAAATTTGTATTAATGAATTTTTCATGGGCAGTGGCAATTAAAGTAAGGTCTTCAGATTCCTGGGTTATCGGGCATTAATACAGGTCCAATATAAGACCATTTTTGGTTTTGGGACCGGGGTTTTCATGGTCTTTAGCGGCTTTGGATCCTGTTACCTTCGTCAGCGCATGAGTATCAATACCAACAACACCGATTGAATATATATATATATATATATATTAAAAGGCAAAATACTGGAAAACAATACTAATGGAAACAATGGCTAGATCTCAGTAGAGATACAATTTTGATAAGCAACAGCTAAAAAGTAAGTAAGCCAGAATGGAACCAGAGTTTTTGGACAACACTAGTCCTCCTTAAGTGGACTTACAGAGACTCTCTAGGTGTTCGGAACCACGTGATCGGACACACTACAGCCGCCACAATAATAAGCCAACCACAAAGCGGCATAGGTAACCAGTCCTTGGTCATTGCTTCAAAGGTACTGGAAGCAGCAAGAAGATTGACAACACTATAGCAGAATAACGCCACGCCCATCATGGCGCTTGTGAATACTCTGTAATAAATATTATTGATAACATTTAATTTTAAAAAATTAATGAATAATCATTAATCATAATAATAATAATATTATTCACAATAATACAGTAATAGTATAACAATAACTGTAATAAAAATGAAAATAGGTAATAGCAATAGCAGTAATAGTAATGAAGGCCTAATCGTACCAGATCTAGTACTAGTGCCTGAAACAGTATACAGTATTAGTAATTAGTAAAAGTAACAGTATTATTAATAGTATTAATAGTAACAGTAAATGTAACAACATCACACGTAAGTTTAACTAAGTACTAGTAGGCCCCTACCAGTAACTGAATAGTCACAGTACCAGTAACAGTAGCTGTAACGCTACCAGTAGCAGAATAGTAACAGTAAGAGTCATTTACAGCAACTGAACGGTACCATTAACAGTACCAGTAACTGAATAACTAACAGTAACAGTACCAGTAACTGAACAGTAACAGTGTAGCAGTACGGTAACAGTAATACTCTAAAAGTAACTGAACAGTAACTAACAGTAACATAGTAACTGAACAGTGCCAGTAAATAAACAGTAACAGTAACGGTCAACAGTAGCATGTAACGGTAACAGTAACACTCCAACGGTAACAGTAATAGTAACAGTGACGGTAACATGCAGTAGCAGTAACTGTAACAGTAACACTTTAACATGTAACTGAACAGTAAATAAACAGTAACAGTAACGGTCAACAGTAGCATGTAACGATAATAGTAAAACTCCAACAGTAACAGTAATAGTAATAGTGACGGTGACAGTAGCAGTAACTGTAACTGTTAACACTCTAACAGTAACTGAACTGTAAGGGACAGTAACTGTAACTGAACAGTAACAGTACTTGTAAAAGTAACTTTTAAAGCTATTTTAAAACTATTTTTAAAGATGACCTGTTTGCTCGTGTTTTCACCTTTTTAATGTTCTAACCTGGTGCTTTTACCTTTTTTCTATTGAATTTTATTTATTTTTTGTTCTTCGATGCCAAATTAAGTCAAGTCAAGTCAACTGAACAGTAACATTAGCAGTAACTGAACAGTAACAGTAACTTAACACGAACAGTAACAATAATAATATCCGTAAATGAAAAAACCAGTAAGAGACACAGTAAATGTAAATGTAAATGTAGCTGTAACAGTAACAGTGAATCTAGTAAAGATAACAGACTAGGCCTACTTATATACTAATAGAACACTGGATCATTAAGTGTAAAATTACCAAAATATTAATAATGTTTATACATTTATTCCAAAACCAAACGCAAAATAAAATCGCCACTTACAGGATTGTGAAATAAAAATTATAATAGGCCTAATAATAATGATAATATTAATAATAATAATATTATTGTTATTATTTAGAATATAAAAGGCAGTATCCTGACATACTTTCCTGGATGTCCAAATGCCATATATGCTATAGCTGCCAGTGGATACCTCACCTCACCTTGGTACGCTGAGTTTACTTTGGTTGTAATAAGCCAACATCTTGCCAAAGCGATGGCCGTGAAAATTGCAATTAGAACTATCAATGGCAGAGAAACCAAGCCCAATAGGCCTAGTACACATGAGAAAAACATAAATAGATCTGAAACATCATCATTTTGGAGCGAATAAATTCGTTGCACATTTGGTTATGCGACGATGTAATTGAATATTAACTAAAAACATGAGAGAAATGTTTGCACAACCAAGGATGACAAAATTGTATCTCGTGTAGTAGAGAAGGGACAGGTCTAGGGGCGGCCGGATGCCGGATGGGACCTCCAATTCAGAACTTGTGCACATCATAAAAGGCAACTGTTCAGTCTCTATTACAGAAAATAACAAATTGTATATTCAGTACACTCTCAAACGTCTTATACACCGTACTGTGCGCCTTTTCCCATTTGTGTGTGTGACGTGTGTGCTTTCTTTTTTATACGGGCCTATTGTTAGGAAGCGAAGGAGGTACCGGGGTTATTTTTTTCACAGTGCCTACCCACACAATACGCCACTTGTGGCTGAAGCCTACCTGCTCCCACCGTTGCTTTTGGGGCTGCTATCATACCGCTTCCTGCAGTAGCCCCTAGGATGTATAGCATTCCGCCTACAATGCTTAGATCACTGGCTGGCTCTTCGTCCTGTTTACATGTACAGTAAACACGATGTAAATTACTGTAACATTTGGGTAACTTGCATAAAAAACATTAATATTTTAACGGTATACAAACTACAAATAAACCAAAACCGACCAAATTTTATACCAAAAATTCAAAGCCGTAAGGTAAGGTGTTAATTTTAGAAGAGGAGTTATTTCATGGCCAAGCAATATTTTCACAATCATATACGTCTTCCACAATATGTGCAACTCTGTGTTCATCATTGTCTCATTGTTGCAGTTTTCATTTACCTGCTTAATAATGTGCTCATAGGACAGAGCATTTTTTTGTTTGTTTTAAGCTATTAACCGATTAAATTACGAATTGAGTCTCAAGTGAATTTGTACTTAGCATGTAAATTTAATTTATTTCGTCTTTTGAACACAACAAATAAAGATACATAATACTGTTGTAAAACGATTTTCCAACCCCCTAAAAGCCAACATTTAAAAGTAAAATATAAACATACAAAGTAATCAAAAGAAAAGATCAACATCAATCAATCAATCAATCAATTAATCAATCAATCAATCAATCAACCAATCAACCGACCACTTAATCAATCAATTAATCAGTCAGTTAATCAATGAATCAATAAATTAATCATCTTTTATTTTGAAATTGCTGTAAAAGCACGTTGCTCTAGCTCACGAAATCAAATAGTGAGTAATTAAGGGGATAATGGATGCGCACAATGATGTTGAACACGATACCGCGCGATATATTGCAGACTACCTTAAATTATTATAATATTATCGTAATTGGACTTTCAACCTAAAAGCAAAGGCGGTATAATATGTATATATAGTGTCTAATAGAAGACTTGATCCGGGATCGTGTAACATCCGTCACGAGCTGAAAAATAATGGTGGCTATTGTACTTAAAATTTGAAATATTATGTGGGAAACGTTGATCGGCAAAATGCTACAACATGATGCACAATTCTCCCCAAGCGCATGATTATGCATAATTAAAAATAGGCCTACATATTTAGACGTCAAGTATTATTAGATTATAGTAATTATCAAATGGTATTAATTATAATGATATTTACAATATTTAATGCAATATAATTATTAAAACTAATATAAATTGAATTGAAAAATTAATAATTGAATAATGATATTCATAATGATATTAACAATAAAATTGAAACGGATAGTACTTATATTATTATTATTAATGGATAATAATAATACTAATAATAATAACAATAATAATAATAATAATAAAATAATAACAACAACAACAACAACAATAATAATAATAATAATAATAATAATAATAATAATCCATTGGATGAGAATGAAATTAACATAAAGTTTTATGTGCAGATCGATGTACGGTGAGTGATTGTACAATTACGATTACATGTACCTTCGGGTGCAGACTGCAAACATTCGAATGAACTGATGAATTGTGAAACATGAATTTCATTAAAACATTGTAGGCAACTACTAAATGCGGAAGATTATTTTTTATATAATCATGGAGGAAATATATTAAGATATGTTAATATATTTCCTCCATGATAGTCCTTAGTGGATGTGGATGTAAATTCTCTATATTGAATTTGAATTAATGATTTGACTGAATTTACATTCTCCCATTAAAATACATACATTCGCAAATTCTCAAAGAAAAAAAAGAAAAAATAATGGCACTCGGCAATGTGTTTGAATCCAAAGCAGCCAATAACAGGCACCAATTGATGTAATAGACCTTAACTAACATGCCCGGAGCGTGCCTTAATTTGTGGGAGATGCAGTGGAAAGAGGACCCCTTGGCTTGTATGATCTCCGATACTCTGGAGAACATTGTAAATATATCTACGAATATAAATGTTTCATTTTCAAACATTGATATACATTGAAATTTTAAAATTTTATAGCAAAAGGGGTGGGGGAACGTTCCTTAGCAACAAAGAATACCATCATGCATTGCACTACTTTCATACTTTTTGTTTGTGTTCATTCACCCCAAAAAAGGCAAAGGGCCACTCAAGGGGTTAGGATAGTTAAAAAGAAAACGGGTGACACAGGATTTAAAATTTGCAAGATGAAAGGAAACCGGAAAACAATAATCAGCTGACAAAGTATTCCAAAAAGAATCGATCGACGAACAAATTAATTTGAAAAGGTGAAAGTTCTGCATTAGTAAGCTCAAGAGTGAGCAGATGACGGATACTTCGCCATACTCTCTCTCCCTCCCTGCAAAGCTCTCTACAATTTATAAAGTTTTATGTGCCAAATATCTGTGATTTGATATGTGATATGATGACATCATCATGAATATATATGGGCAAATCATACATTGAACATAAAACTTAGATATTATATCGTAATAATACCGTGATAATTATACACACGACCACATTTGTAAATAAAACGACTGCTGAGAGACACCATGAGCACTTACCATATCACTGTCATCAACGGGTCCACCTGCATCTTGGCGCACCTGTCCATCGCTCGGCCCAAACGACGATCCACCGGGAATCGATTTCATCTCATTTCCATCAAGTATTGGACGGTGTTCATCTTTACCTGAGTTATCCATAACGAAGTTTTACGTGAGATGGATTCTAAGGTCAAGAAAAATGTAATTCACTGTTTTCGTTGCCAAATATTCATGAGCATTAAAAAATGAACAATCAAACACTTCTAAAAAATAATCGGGGAGGGGGGGGGAGATGGCGCTGTGGTGGGGCCAGGATTTTCCCGACGGGGTTCTGAGGTCCTCGACGGGGATGGGGGGTGAGTCAACGACTAAGAAAGGTGGGCGTGGTCGGGTGTCGCTCAGAATCCCTCGAAAGCGTTCCAGGGGTCGAAGCCCTCGAATAATAAGACAATTTAGGACCCCCGCTGGCGCCACCCTTGCTGCTTGCATTCCCTACTCCCCCGTAGATACGTCACTGCTCTTTCCACCTAAGCGGGTTCGACATAAATACAGTACACTGTGTTTTTGGTCGAATGATCAGGGCACTGTTTGAAGCAGCAGAATCCTTGTTGACATGAATATAGGATATAGAAACACTGTTAAGACTAACAGGGTTTTAATAATTTCACGCACCCCCTGGGATCTGCAAATGCATTATGGAATGCATAATAAGGCCTAGACCTATATTCTTTTAACAATTAATAGCCTGATGAGCTAACGCCACAATCGAACTAGCATACTTTTTTCTTATAATTCAATTGCCTACAATTGCATTCATTTACCGCGCCTAAGTTTATTAGTGTATAGGACGTGCGACGCACAAGAAACCACTTTAAATGCAAGGTCAGCCTACGTGTCCAAGGGTCAACCCTCACTCAATGCTTATTCGATAAGACAAAAGACCAAATATAGAGACACGGAATTGATTGCTGCATGTCCTGTGGCTACTAAAAACGGTAATTAATTGAGACCACGTCGATAGGATCTCAACACGCTTGTGTATCTTCTGAATTTAAATTCGTTTCAATTTTAATTTAAACGTGAACCGGCACAATTTAGAAAAATAAATGGACATACAGACGTACTGTACGTGGTTTACTGTATCAAGATGTATAATGCCTACAACCAACATAGAATTATAATATATTGAATGACATTATTATTAATCGAATAGTAATGATTATAATAAATTTAAATATGAAAATACAATCATAAATAAATAGTAACAATAATTATAATATTGATATTCATTTTCGCAGTATTTAAACATATTGTAATTGCACACACACCCACCCACATATAT